TAGTAGTAGTAGTAGTAGTAGTAGTCCAGAGTTTTAAATCCGATTGTCCCCGAAGACGAGGGTGGCCGGATTCACCTTAAACTAGTGGCAATTTAAGGTTTTTTTGGAGCATGAGATAATTGGCCGGATGCCCTTCCTGACACCAATCCACTGTTTCGGCAGTGGGCCTAGCCTTTGAGGGAAACACCCATCATGCAAGGCAGCATGTGTAGAGGTATGTGCTATACATGACATGGTCTGAAAGCATCATATGACTCATAACAGACTGTGTTCAGGAAAGAACCACTTGGTCAAGGATGGGGTGATCAGCACTTAAGTATACCCCTACATACCCCAGCAAACTGGTCCATTACCTCCAACAGAGTTTACGTGGACTTATCACCTTTTAAGACAACAAGGAGAACCATACTAGTGTAATATGAACTAAATGTCAAATGATATTATCCCAATTTACCTCCTGTGCTGCAAGTCGGTTAATTTTCTTCTCTACAGTCAGGTCTTCTTGTAATTGTTGTAACATTGCTTTACCAAGTTCTTCAAGTAACTAATACAAAGATGTAAAAGAACAAGTTAGTTTATTACATGATTACAAGCAGGTATTGAAAGAAACAAATAAATTTTGCTATTTTCGCTGGTAAGTGAAATTCGCTAAATTAAATCCATATGAATATGAAACACTACAATATAAATGTATAAATTTTAAAACCCAGTGACCACTGATGAAATATATAGTCAAATTAAATATCATTGAAAATGAGTGCTTTTAACCAGAAAAATCCATGTTTATAGAGAACTAAAAAGATTTTAACCAAACGTGGTGATGTAAATCAAAAAATGCAGTCATCGTTCTCATAAAATGTGCGTAAATATCATCCTTTTAAATGCTAAAATTACAAACTTGCCTAACAAATAATAACACAATTCCCATGGCAGAATCACATTGGTAATTCATTTGGAAGAATTTGCATTTGTGCAACAGCATACTCTGGGTCCCCAACAACGATAAGATACATAAAATTCGCTGCTGATACGTTCCATTTAATGTGAAAGCTAAATAGTCAGCAACGGCCACCGCATGATAAAAATGAACTAAATGACTTGTCTCACCTTTGCAGCATGTAGCTGTATTGATGTATCTTTCTCTTCCAGACATTCATATATAATATGACATATATGTGGGAGACAACATCTCACAATTATGAAGTATCCTTTGACTAACTGTGTTAATACTTGCAATGCTTCTAATCTCACTGGCAATGGTTCACTGGAAGAACTTGCAGCAGTCCATGATCTACAAAAAAATAAGGACACAGGTCAGTTTGTGAAATACTCCATATTTAAATTGTCCATATTGACTCAATTAGTAGTGCATGTGCGTACATAAATAACAAAGATATTCCAGCTTACTATAAAGTTATGGATTATGTATGCTTTCATTAGAGAACAGACTAAATGGGAGCTAAAAAAGACTTGGATTAACAACAACAAAATCCAACAAATGCAAAATTATTTCCCAACACATTGAAATCACTGCCATAACACTCTTCAGTGATTTGGGGAAAACTATTTTTTACTCTCCAGCCATTTTCGAAAGTCGAGGCACTTCGAATAAAGCGGTTATTAAACATAGTTGTACATTTTGCCACAGAACACACATTCTATATTTTTGACTATGCGACATGTCTTTCTATCATACTGGCAGTATGACACAATTTAATGTGCTATTCAAACACAGGCTACAGTGAAGTGTGAGGTTTTGTCAAATCCTCATTGAAAAATTTTTTTCGACCAGTGGCTTGTCTCTTCTTCATTGAGTCTGTATGGTGTACACTCACCCAGGGTAGTGGGTCAAGCATTTTTATTTGGTGTTCAACCCAAGCACAACTATTTTAACTTAGGATTTGCACTCCTGACAACCATGGGTCTGATGCAATAACCACTATAGTGATTGTGTAATTGGTAATCACTGTCAAAGATTTGTGTAATAGCTGACAAGTCTTGAATTACTGTACTACCGGTAATTTAATCATAACATTTTAGCCAGCATGTTATTTTCAGCTGATTTAACTACTTTTTATAAACAAAACAACAAAGTCCATGCAGGAACACCAAAACCTGAGTACAATATGTTAAGATTGTACAGTTTAGGGGATAAATTAGGGTTTGGGTTGGGATAGTTTCAAGGTCCATACAATACATGAATTTTGGTTAATTAAGGAATTGTTAAAATAGCAAATATTTCACAGTGTCATCACAAAATGGCTGTGTATATCAAATTAAACACCCCTGTTTTTTAACCATGTTCAAAATGACAGCACGTTAGAAATGATTCTGCCGAATCATCTATTCCCATATTCATATAATATAAATCATCTTTGCTTAGACTATTAGAAACACATTTCTGATAGAAATGCATGTGAATCCACATTTTAGTAATAATTAATTAAAGTTAATTTAAATTTAACTTAATTACAACATTTTGCATATTACTCACCTTCCTAAGCCAACTGAAGTTGTAAGTGATTTATCAAGATGTACTTCAAGTCCAAGTTTAGATGGATGAATCAAAGCGGTGCACAGCTTTACAAGCCAAGACAATTCACACGGTTCACATATATTTGCCGTGGCAGAATCACTCAAACAACCTTGACTTTCATCACAAGACTCATCAGTATTAGAAGTACTCGGTTCAGTACAAATAGTCCTCACATTTTCAGTTACAGTTTGTATTTCATCTTTTCTCTCCATTGTCTCCTTCCCTTCATCACTTTTTAGACTGAGGTCCGGTTTACTATTGGCTTTACCGATATTAACCGAGTCTACGGGCTGCAGGATATAGATAATCTCCTCAAGTTGAGGCTGAATACTGACTATAGAACCAAGAAACGTTAAACACGCCACTCGTACATTATGATCTGCAATAACAATAAATATACGTTATCAGTCATAAAAAGAACTATTCATTCAGAATACACTGTTATCAAATTTGACACATTATGTAAAAAAATCCTGTTAAAAATTCAAAGATGCATCACGTACCTTTGTGTGATAGAAACTGCTTAATCTGCTTCACCATTTTTGTTAATAACCCTGAGCGTAGTTTATGATATGGAACATTAAGTATCAAAATAGCTAAACACTGCAATAAAGAAACATATTTCAAGTCAGTTCGAAAGCACTATACTTACTTTGAAAATACATTCTCAGTAAATAATAAATTTTAACATATTTGAACTCTCGTGACCTTGCCCTTTGTTATATAATATTATTCCCTTAGTTTGTTTCAATATGAATATGCATTGTCATAATTAATTTTGACTACAGACGAGTTTGGGGGTTGGGCACACAATAACAATAATTAACGATGACGTCAACGACGACAACATCAGAGAGAATTTTTTCCTTAATATACCTTTCCCTTCCAACTTTGATGGTACGTGTAAGGTAAAAATGAATTTTGCAAAAAGTTCATAAAATCTACTAGTTTCCTAGCATTGTATTCAAAGTTGGGTAAGTGACCCCGGCCTCATAATTCAGCAACTTACGTCAATATTGTAACAGTGTACGTTCATTGATTTTTAAACCATAAATATGGGAGAAGCTTCCTAGATAATTTGAGTAATTTGTTTTGAATTTTAAAACACATTCTCAAATTAGTAAATCTAATCACGGCCAGGTTTAAACTTTCATGAGACTGTCAGATCAGTTTTTACTCCACAAAAGTCTTCCCTCACCCCTTGTTTAAACCAGATTTTAAATGTGCCTGTCTCAAGTCAATCTGACTAAAATCCAGTGCAGGTATAGGCTCCAATTTTTTAAAATTTTTATATTGTTTAATAGTTATTTTTGTTTGTTTATGAATATTTTTTTGGTTTTACTTGCAGTTATTAAATTTTTATATAGCATATTGTATCATATCATATATATGAACAAAACAAATTTAATAACAGACAAGTAAAGCAAAAAAATAACAATTTTTAAAAAATTAAAGAAAAAAAATGAAGCCTATACCTACATCAGATTTTAATCAGATTGTTTTCAAGTGAGACCAAGGCTTACCTTAATTACTTGTGTTAATGTAATAGATGATGTCTCAGCTACCAATGCTAACAGTAACACCTATGAATTTCCTTTAATTGTACATCCTAATGTAACCGAGAACGGTGTAAAAGCGGCCGGCTGGCGTTCCTGATCACCAGCAGCTGCAGCCAAGTACTGCTTTGAACCATCCAAGAGTGAAGACAGCACAGCTAAAGCACCAGCACGAGCCTAGAAACAGAAACAGATGAGAAAACCCTGTTACCTAAAGTTTGTGTAATAAACTGTGAAATACTTAATTTTAGCTGAAATTAACTTTTGCTGACAAGACTTTTTGGGTTTTTGTATGGAATGTATTTTCATGACTACAAATGGCTGATCCCTAAACAATGGATAGTAAGTACATGCAAGAGACAGATACAGACCATGTAGAATTCTTAACCCACTGAACCTTCACAAAG